GTCTGAGCACCTCGGCAGAGCCTGTATTCGCATATAGCAGAGTGAGGATGGTTCTTGAGTAGGGTAGATGCAATCTGCCCAGGTGCAGGTCCTTGTGAGTGGTTTAGACATTCCAAGGAAACTAGCAATCATGGCCCAGGAAGGTTTCTTTCATACGTTAACAGACTTCATATTATCTTAATGTTGTCTGGGAACTAATTGAATAAACACAAGACTCTGCTCCCAGCCAGGGTGGTCACAGACATACCTTAGATTCTACAATATTTTATACATATATAGCATGAATTATCTCTACCATATACTACACTGTTCTCCTAAGAAAAGCACTTTGCAGTGTGTGCTGTGTGTTCATTAGTCTTTGAAGTAAAAAAGCCTCTAAGGCCAATGGATAAACTGTGGCTTATTCTATGAAATAGGTGTAATCTGAATTAAGAGGACAGGAAACTGAAGAAACAGAAACCCTCATCTGTACTACCAAAGGAGAAAGTTTCTACCTGTCTTTGGTAACTTGTAAAAGCACTGCTTCTCATCAGGGGGGAAAGAGGTGAATCTAGGAATGTTGTCCTTCCATTTTCCTCTTTGCCTGTGCAGGCAACTAGAATAGATTTAGCCTCTTCTCTACTGGGGAAGATAAAAAGTGCTTAAACAAGAGGAAAAATTATATTTATCCATCACTTAAGAAGGCAACAGAGCAAATGGGAACCAGTCCATCTGGACTTTGCCTTTAAACTGCCAGGTTTAAACTCCCGAAATGGAGACTGGTGTAAGACAAGAGTAAGTGGAACAGCCCAATAACAGACTCTGTCTTGGAGCTCAAACCAGCTATCAGATTTTCACCAGGAACTGTTCTCTTTGTTATATGAAAAACGGGGGAATTTTTAGATTTTTGTTGTGATACAATTCCCTGTTTTATGGACTCCTTTCCATTGCTGCTCCCAGAGGTTTAGAAATTTATTAGAGGAGAAGGCGTTGTTCAGGCAAACATCTAAAATTTATCTTTAAACCTGCCAGACACTAGGAAGAAATTAACCATACCAATGGAAGCTATTTAATTTATGTTTTAAAAAGTCACAAAAACATAGTGGGTGGTGAGGGGAAGACATCTGTTCACCCTCGGAATATAATTGAAGAACCTACATCCAAAACAGTGTGATGGAAAGTGTTCCTAATCTGACTGCTTGTGGGAATTACATGCCAGGAGTCTATCACCCAAAACATTGACTGAAATTAATTACATTTTTTTAAACACAAACTGTGTAAATTCATTGATAAAAGCTTCTAGAAATATCTAGTATTCATTTGCATATTTTTGAACTTATTTGGAACTTGGAACTCATAAAATGTTCTTTGACAGAATTGGTTTTGGTGATAGACATGTTGGGCATCTATTGAGTATTTTTTGCTTCTTTTGTACTTGGAAGCAATTGGTGAAATGCAATCACTCGAGAAAGAAAATGAAACCCAATCTGAGATTCATTCACACAGCAGGAGTTCTCCACAGGTGCTTATTACTATGTTACGCATAACCATAATAGCTGAACCCCATCAGTTGTGACTTCCAGATAAATTCTGTCATTTGTCGTTCCCACTGTTCTGTGCTTACCCCAACAGACATGTTTTTTGCGCAATTGTGTTTTGTTGCTTGTTTTATTTGCACATATATTCTGTGTATACATCTCTGAATACATTACATTCCCTCCTTGAGGAAGAAGCACATACAAATGCAGATTCAGAGAGGGAGAGGCATTCTCCCTCTATTTTCTGTCTCATCCCCCTCAGCTGTGTTTTGTTGGGGGAAACAGTGTTGCATTGGGAGGAAGGGGCAATGTTTGCAATGACTGAGTGGTTCGACCTTCTTCTCAGAAATAGCTCCTGCACCAGTGGCTGTTGCCTTTTTGGAAGTGAGTTTCACTTTGTGAGACAATCAGTTGTTGTTGGCTGCTGCTCTTTCCTTAGACCATTCTTACAATCTTCTTGCACCAGGTGATTTGAGGGTCCTGAAAGTAAAGCCTGAGTTTTTCAAATCTGGGGTGCCTTGAGGTTCCTGAATTTCAGTGCAACAAACTTTCTCAGTGTGTTAACATTGATGCCTGCGTTAATCATCCCACTAAGGGTGATCATCCAGCTGGAGTTAAGCCCAAGTAATGTTTCCTCCGTATTGCTGAGAGTATATCAGTGTCTACTTTTCACTTCAGCTAATTTTCCTCAAACTAGGCAGGCTGAATTGCCCACCAGAGTTATACAGCACTTCACTCTCATATGAAACCCATGTTTTGCTTCCAAGGAAAGAGTGTGGAAAGGAGCCCTTTGGCTTCAAATGACAAGTCCAGTTGACAGTCCCTTTTGCCATTTGACTCCTTATAGAATAGCCTTTGGCAGGGCGGTGCACGAGAACCTTAATTTGTTACAGCTGTCAGAGAGATGGGCATTGCTTTCTTTTCTGTTCTGCCTGCTTTCCTCTGGAAATGAGGTTTTTTCTGTCATGCTCTCTCTCTGACAGGCTGTCCAACCCTATCCTATTTACTTTTTTAATCCTTTGGCCAATTTTAGTCCTATTTAGCACTGAGGCAGATGCCTTAATGATATTGAGTTCTACCACTGTAATGAATACTGGCAGCCAGATAGAGGAGAGAGATGTAATTAATGCCTATTCTGATGAAAAGATTTCAGTGTGTGCTCAGCTTTTTCTAGGTATCAGGCTTTATTAGCTCTGCTGTGAACAAAACTGCCTGGGTTTATATTGTAAGCATTATTGTAGCACTTTAATTGGTGGCTTTGCCTCTGTGCTTTCTCTTGCTATCATGCATCAGAGCCCTAATGAGGGTTCAAAATGCCACTGAGCATGACAATGTTGAGTATGTGGGCTGATACTACCAAGCATTAGCGTTATTAAGTCTGGTAGATAACAGAACTCCATACGGACAAAAATCTCTTCTTTCATTAGTCCCCCTGACCCTGACTCCTTAGCTGTTCTTGTTTTATGGGAGGGCCAGTATCTGCTGCCTGGGGTTTCCATCCTGAAGCAGAGATTGCAGCATCTTGGGCTGCCAAACACTTTTCCATGGCAGGAATCCTCCTTGAATCATGCAGAACTCACCTTCACCAGCTTTTGTCCTGGGACCTAGGGTTCCTGCCTGACCTTCTGTGCAGAAACAGTGCTGTGTCTCGTCCCATTGCTGCAGAGCAACATGCCTGCTGTGGGTGAAGGAGCAATGTGGAGACAGTTCACTTCCTCTCTTGTTCCACTAGAAAGATTGTCCATGTAGTACCATGGCAGGAGGGAGTAATGGAGATTAAGACAAACTTGTCTAGCCATTCCATCGAATCTCTGGGATAGTCCTGTCAGTTTACCCGAGGAAGCCAGTTTGACATGCATAATTCAGACATTTCCTCTCTTACATGATAATCTCTTACCTTTTGCATCTTGCACATTCTGTAAAAATGTGGCAGAACAAGCATGTTTTGCCATCTGGACAGAAAAAAAAATCATAAATATTATTTACTTGAAATTGCAAAAAGTATGTGTATTTGAGCACCTAGTCTAATTTAGTCAAAGCCTTGTACAGGGTTTCAGCAGCAAAAACATTGTTTCTAAATTTTAAATATATTAAAAGGCATATATTGGGAATACACTTAAATGGGTTGTATGAGCAAGTTCAAAAATTATATGGTTTAGATCACTGCTTTACTTCTCTTGTAGATCTGAGGTTTTGAATTGACCTGTCAGATTTTCATAAAACAGGCTGGTTTTATGAATCTGAGGCAGAAGTGGCAAGTAAGGTAGCCCAGTAATGTGATTCTTCCTAAAATTCTAGGCTTGGCTCACAATGATATTCATAGATAATCTTGGTTGAGTTCCTGAATAAGCATGCAATACGTGTATTCTTTTACTTATGTAGCAAGATATTTAAACATTAATTTAAGAGTAAGTCAGCATTTCATGAATAAATACTCCTGCAGCTTAGTCTGCTTTGTGGTAACTCTAAATTTTATTTAGACTTTTGTGTTACTCTAGTAGTATAAGTGGTTTTTATCAGCAATTGGAAATAGTAAGGTACTCACCACTAATTCTGATAAATAGAGAGAATGAATGTAAGTATGTGCACACTGTGTTAAAAGCTTTTATTTTACTTGTTTCTCATTGATTCTTATTTTTTCTTCTTATAGGGTATGTCCTAGTTGTGCATGCCAGAAAATGTGTGATGAGTTTGCAAACCTGTCTACCTTTACAACTCTTCCTTCTACATGCTTTTTTATTACTCCTGTCATGGAATATATTGCCTAATTTGTAAATATCAAAAGCACTGTAAAATGGGAGATAGCAATTTACTTAATACCATGCATACACAATTTATGTCAGTATTTTAAATAAATGAGCACTTCTGCTGGAATACAGGAAACTTTATGCGGAGTGCCTGCAAACACTTTCACAGCAGTCATCTTAATATTGGTCCTAACTAGTCGAACACCCAAATCTCTCTGAAACAAAGGCTATCATTAATGTTGCTTGCCAAATTAGAAATATTATGAATAACATAACTCTAGGGGTCAGAACAAAGCAAACTTTTTGTTTTTAAAACTTTCGGTCAGAAGGATTTTTTTTTATTACTGTGCCAATCTTTTTTACTTCCGTAAACTGATTTTTGATTTGTAAAGAGTTCTGAGCATAACCCTGAATTTTCACATGGTCTCTGTAGCTTGGCACAGCTGGAGTGCCTGAAGCAGCAACCTGGCTTTCCTTTGGTTTGTCTCTCTGGAACTGAGTAAATTTTGCTCTGGTTTGTGACTCAGAGAGAGAGTTTAAGTGGGTTTGCCATGGGTGGCTTAAGGGAACATAGGAATTTTTGTTTTCCAATTCTGAATTTAGAATGTGCATTTCTCATATTCATTTCACATCTGCAGAAGTTATTTGAAGCGTATAACTTGGATATGTGGAAAGAGGATGAAGATCTCCCATTGAAATTTTGTTTATGTTTTTGTTCTTTTCCTTTTCATTCCAGTGAAATGAAGCAGAAGTTGGATGAAGAGGGTAACAAGTGCAGCATCCTTTCCAAGCAGCAGAAGTTCAATGAGCACTGCTGCATTCGCTGCTGTTCCCCTTTCACATTTCTGATCAACAGCAAGCGACAGTGCCAAGACTGCAAGTACAACATCTGCAAGAGCTGCAGCACTTACCAGAAAAAGGAGAAGGCTTGGATTTGCAGTGTCTGTCAGCAAGCAAGGTAAAAGCCTGTTGTTCAGCAACTTGTACAAGGTAGCTGTGGCCTGACCTGAGCTTTTCCTTGTATTTGTCAGTAGTTAACACTGGTGGAATAGGACATGAAGTACCTGTTTATGTAGAGGTTGATTCATTCCTGACATGCCTGGTTTTTGTAGAGGCTAATTTGTTCTGAGAGTGTTTGGTTACCTGTTGCATTTTCCAGGCTTGTTTAGCTGGACTGATGTATCAGCAAGCAGTTACTGGGCATAGCTTGTTCTGGACTGGGATGTCCTGAAACACCTGGGTTACTAATGGAACCTGAGCACAGATGGTGGTTAAGACAGTTAATAGTTTGGCAGCTAATCTCCTTGATGGGTCAGAAATGGAAGGAAGAATATTTGTGAATAGATCATCCAGCTGTGACTGTGTTTTAGAGTGCTTTTCTAAAAGCCAACTTACTGGTGGGGATGCCTTGAGCTTACTTTGGCAGGTACCCAAAGAAAATAGTGGTGCAACATGTTATAATTCATAACATCTGCTAAAGAATATGCTGCTGGGCTTCTGTTTGCAGAGGGTATCAGGGATTTACTATCTCACCCTTCTGAGGATAACAGAGCCCCAGCAGTTAAAGATCACACCAGAAAAACAAAGCACAACAGTTAACAGCAGCAGAGGGCTCATTCCTTGGATGTGACTGTTATAGTCCTTGTCTCCAAGTTCCAAAAGCAGGTGTAGCTGTGGTGACATAGTCCTGACTGACACCCTTTAACTCAGGCAAGAAGGGTGAATGAAGTAACTCAATTCCTTATGGTTTAATTTTGACCATTGGTGACTAAAGCAGCTGAGCATATGTGACAAGAATGGCTGTTTATCTTTCTCTTTAGTGGAGAATGCAGGATGAGGACAAGAGACAAGTCCCTTTGCAATGCTTTATGATACTCCTATGCTCACCAAAGCCATACTATTCCTCTTGTTTCCCATTAACACACACTTGAAATCATGGAATCATTAGGCTGGAAGAGACCTTCAAGATCATCAAGTCCAACTCATGCCCTAACACCTCAAGTAAACCATGGCACCAAGTGCTACATTCAATATTTTTGTGAACACATCCAGGGAAGATGACTCCAACACCTCCCTGGGAAGACAATTCCAGTATTTTATCACTCTTTCCATAAAAAAAAATTTTCCTAATATCCAACCTGTATTTCCCTTGGTGCAGCTTAAGGCTGTGTCCTCTTGTTCTGTCAGTTGCTACCTGGAGAAAGAGACCAACCCCCACCTGACTACAGCCACCTTTCAGGAGGTTGTAGAGTCTGAGTCTCTTTTCTCCAGGCTAAGCACCCCCAGCTCCCTCAGTTCTTCCTCACAGGGTTTGTGTTCCCAGCCCCTCACCAGCCTCGTTGCCCTCCTCGGGATGCACTCAAGCATCTCAATGTCCTTCCCAAACTGAGGGGCCAGAACTAGGCACAGCACTCAGGTGCAGCCTCACCAATGCCAAGTACAGGGGAAGGATGACCTCTGTGCTCCCGCTGGCCACACTGTTCCTGACACAGGCCAGGATGCCCTAAACTTTCCTACAAGATCTGTGAATTAAGTTTGTGCTCTTTGACACAGGTCCTTAAAATCATAGAGATCCCAGACAATGCCAATTTCCAAATGACAGTCTTCGAAAGCAAAGGTGGTTGTGTTCTTTGGGGCACCTGATCCTCTGCTTTTTACCCCGGAAAACCTACAGAAACCCCCTTTTCCCTGGTGAGGAGGCAGATGAATGACAGGAGGATCTTTTCCAGCAACACAGAGAGCCAGTACTTGTTTCTGCTTTAGCTATTCAACCATTTCATATAACACCTCTTTATTCCATTTATCCTGCGTTCACCCATATGGGCAGCAGCACAGCAGCCAGGTTTGTGGATGCTGATGAACTGCACTTAAAATACCTTTTGCTGACTCCACAGAAAATGTCTCAGAAGAATTTAATTTCAGAAGAAAAATCTGTATCATAAAAATTCTATTTCTGACCCTTGAAGTCATGGCCTTGCCTGTAACTCAGTTATAAACGTTTTCTTTATTTATGAGACCTGAGACACAGCTTGAATTATTTTTCAGTGAATAAATTAACACTGTTGTTCATAATTTTATCTTCTGGTTTATTGGACTGTGCTACTTACAAATCCCTGTAGGTAGAGGAGTCTAGTATTCCTCAGAGGCTGCTGGTGTATTTTGATTTGGTGGGGGCTTTTTTTTTTTGCTTGGGGGGGTCCATAACTTTTTGGGTTTTAACTCTCGGCCAGTATTTCTTCCAGGGTAAAGCACAACAGTATTTCTGAGTTCCTCTCATCTTCTCAGTGACTTATCCATCAGGTGGGCTCTGTTCTCCTGCCTCTCCCCAGCTCCTCTGCTTGTGTCTTTTATTTTTAGGTTTGATAAGGCAGCACAGGTAGTGGAGGTGGTTCTTGGTTTAGCTGTTATTTGCCCACTTATCTTACTGCACAATAGAAAATGAGCTCTAGTGGGATAGAAATATCTGAAGACCATGTTCTACACTCAAGAAAAGCTGACATGGTGAATTAGTCTTTCAAGGCTTGACCCCAGTGGAGATACCTGTTCTGTTGATCTTCATCTTCCAAGGCAGACATCTACATTAGCATTGAGCAGAGAGCAAAAATTCAGGTCACCATTTGAAACATAGAACATTTGTAGAAAATCAGTCAAAAAAGTTAGTCTCTGCTTCTTCCAAAAGTAGAAAACTCATCAATAAGCCAGTGAAAACTTTGGTGTTTGAATTCCTTTAAAGCACATTTTCTGTTGCTATACATCTTTTAAAAGTTAGAAAGTGGGTTTGGTATGGAATCTCAGGCTCAAAAATATCTTTACAGCAATTTCTGAATTAATCTTGTGAAGAATAGGAGAACCTTACTTAAATTTCCCAATTTCCCAGATTTAGCACACATTCTGCAACTGTTTTTTGATTTAGATTTGTCTCTGAATACTATTATTAATGTTCTCAGGGGCTTCACCTCTTATGTGTATCTTTTTAGTCTGTAAGTACTCTTTGATCAAATTGTATAATACTAATTTCAAGGTTTTGATCTCTGTCTAGTTCAGTTACGATTCTTGTGAAGCCTTGTCCAATGTCTCCTTGTTAGACATCTGTCAGACAATGCATTTAGGCAGCTTGCTGAGGTCTGTACTTTTTAAGTCCTCTTGGCTAAGCTGATTCCAGGCACAGTTTCTTTGTCCAGTGGGTTAATGCTTTTGATGCCAGAAACAAAGGTTCTTTGCTCATTTAGTAGGAAAAAGGCGTGCTTTATATGTGTCTGAGACCACTCTTCTCCAAGGAGCCATATCCCAGACCACCCTGCTTGTGGTATTCTGCTTTCTACACTTTCAACACTTGTAGTAATAAAAATATATTTTTCAAAAGCATAATCCATTAAAATGCATATTTTTGCAGGTTTTTTAAACTAATCATGTTTTACTCCTGGACTGATTAGTATGAGTATATAGTGTCCAATCCAAAATAAGGTGTACTAACATCTGGCTGTCCACCTCAGCCTTTCATGACTATCATGCATGAATTCCCTTGCACTCTTTGTTCACTTCTTCTGGTCTCACCATCTGTATGTCAAAAGATTTCTGTCTCTGTTGTGAGTGGGAGCATGGGCACCTAATCCTTTCATGCGTTCACATCCATCTGTCCTGTGATTTTCTCACTTGTTCTCAAAACTCTTGCTCAGGTGGTGAGAGTTCATCACTTAGTAGACTCCTGCTTTGCTTTCTTGAGTCAGGCCATGGGTGAGAGGGTCTGCAGGAAGTCATTATTCTGCTTTGTAAGAGCTGCTTTGTTGGTGGTGGTCCTTTGCTAGTAACAGTTAATAAGAGACAGAGACCCAGACACTGGTCCTTTTCTCCTTTATGTCATTAACTAGTGAAAAGCACAGTCATGCTGCACATACTCAGACTTTCTGCAGTCAAAGTAGTGTTTTGGGTGGCTCAAACTGAGTCTCAAAAGTTATCACACTAGTTGCTTGCAGCACAGATTTATTTGAATGTTTAAGAGAATTACTCTTTTTTTTTTAACTTTAGTTTTTGTACACCCTATATAACTGCTACTTTTAAAAAGAAGAAAGCAAAGGTATAGCAATTACCTTCATCAGCTCTTCAATACAGAGTTATTGTTGAATGTTCCTTACATTTTATTTTGAGTTTTTTGGGGTGCCTTGTTGAATATAACCAGACTGTAACAATTTGCATCGGTAGAAAATGTAATTGTCTTACTGGAATTTGATAATTAGTTAGGCTACTTAGATATGCATTAAGGTTTTTGATGCACATCAGAATGAGATTTGAGAAAATGCAATGAGGTTTAGTCTACCTGCAGTACCCAGTACATTTTTCTACAACTAGCATGAATTGGGATTAACACTAAAGTGAAAATGGAGCAATGCTTCTGATAAAATGAAAATTGCAACAGAAAATAAAAGTCTAGACTCACTTGGCAGGCAGAACACTTTTCAAATAAAAAGGAGCTTTGCCAGCCTCAGGAGCAGTCCTAAATAAAACCTTTATATTGCATATGGGTTTTTTTGGAGGACTCTAGAAAACAATGTAATGTGTTTTAATGTTAGCAGAACAAAGCATGTATTTGTGGAAACATAATAAAGTTGAAGTTAGCCTGCCAAAAGGTACATCTTTTCTGCTTAGCTGATACAAGTTTTAATGTAAAACTCTTTACGGTCTCTTCAGGAAAAAGAAGAAAAAAAATACAAAATTTGAGAAAACTTTGATACTGTACTTGAGAAAAAGTAATACTTCTAGTTAATAACTGAACTTTGTATTTGTTTGCCAGTGCATTTGGCTGTAACAAAAACAGCCAGGACTTAGTTGTGGAAAACTGATGAAGCTATAATGCTGCTTAGCAATTTTGTTTTGCTTTGAAGCAGGCTCAGCCATCTGGTAAAAGGAAGCCAAAATGTATTTTAGGTAGTCTGCCTCAGCCACAGCTTGGAGCTTTGTGTA